CGCTGCTGGTCGCTGCCCGCCGGCTCCCGCCCGGCCCCGGCCTGCGCTGGGCCCACCGCGCCGCCGATTTCCTGCACTGCAGCGTCGTGCCCACCCTGCACTACCAGCGTAGCCTGCCCCGGTGAGCGCCGCCCTCCGGCCCGGGGCGAGCCGCGGGGTCCCGGGCCGGGGCGGGAGCAGATGTAGGGACGAGAGAGAAACCGCAGGAGGTGCTGCGCTGGCCGACAGGGCGGTCTCAGACATAAGTAGCACTCGCTCACTCCCGTCCCCCCCCGGCCGTCTCGTGGGTCGCTTTTCACGTGCGATAGCACTCGTGTGCATTTGCCTTCCCGAGGTCGAGCTGGTGCCGTTTCTCTGCGTGCCTCGTCCCTGCTGCGCCGACGGGGACGGGGGGGCCTGGAAATGACCATATTTTGGATGGTCGTTATTGCTCTCTGGTGAGGGGGGGCTCGATGCTCAAAGATGGCTTGGGGCCGCTCGGCGGGTAGGTACGGTGCTGCTCACCAGGTCTCGGGACGTCGTGGCCGACCTCCTGGCCCTCGCCAAGCCGGGCGTTTACCTGGCTGGGAGGGAGGTTCTGGCTGGGGACGGCCAGGCCGCTTTCCTGTCTCTGGTCAGGTCTGTCCCATGTGCTTGGTTTGGCCCTTTCCTCGGTGCACTCATTTTGCACCTCGTTTTCTTTTTAGCTGTCCCCTGAAATCAGTTGACGCGGCTTCCCTACTGAGGGAGGCTTCTAGTTCCTCCTGGAAGGGCCCAAGCCCAGGATCCACTACTAGGCACATCAAAAGCCAGTTTCTGCGTGATGCCAGCGTCCCGCGGCGCCGTGGCATTGCCCAGCTCTTCACCACGTGCCATATGCGCCACCGGAATAAACGGTAGTCTCTGGTGTTGTCTTTAGGCCCCATCTACACCCTTAATGTTGTAGCCATGGTAGCCTGGGAAATGTCACCAAAACCCCTTTGTTTCTGGAATAGCTTTTCGTGGACCAACTGTGTATTTGGAAAAGGTGTTAGACTTTTGAGCTAGTTAGGACCGGGTCTGTAATGGAAAGAAGAGAGGATTTCCCACAAACGGGATCATCGATATTCCAGTTACTACTTAGTCATTTCTTAACGTGTGACCCTGCCACATGCTCAATGAGTTCATCATGGGGAAAAATGAGGAATAAACCACAAAGCTATTCCACAAAAAATGTGGAATAACTTTTGGCTTGTTCTTATGCCCTTAATTCAGGGGCAGGCAAAATGCAGCCCACCAAGCCATTCTATCTGGCCTGCGGGACCCCTAAAAATTTTAGAAAATTAATATTTATCTGCCCTGGCTGCCTGTCATGCAGCCTTCGACAGCTTGTGAAAATATAGTAAGCAGCCCTCCGCCCAAAATAATTGCCCACTCCTGCATTAATTGAACCTCTGGGCAGGTGCTTCCCTGTGGCTGGGAGCCCTATCAGCTGATGGGGGGGCTTCCAGCCATGGTAGCAACCCATGCATCGCTATGGCTGTGAGCTCCATTAGCTGCAGGACTCCCAGCGTGGGAACTTGCTATTTTGTGGTGCAGGGAGAGCCCAGGATGGTGATCCCGGACTCCGCCTACATTGGCAATAAGGTGTGATGGGATCTGATGCTGCATCCTGAAATCAAGCCTCCTGCCATGCACATGTGGCCTGGCAGGAGATGCAATTGTGTGGGTTGTGCATCCAATCGTATCACGCCTTTATGTGGATGTCTAGAGGAATCGTGTATGATACCAGTTTCTGATGCGATCGCGGGGATTGCTGTGCAGTTTGTAAAGTGCTATATGGACCAGCTTGATAAACAGCAATCTCCTATGTTATCTCCCCTCAGGTTGCCAATTCCCAAACTTGAAGATAGTGTTAGAAGATACCTGAACGCCCAGAAGCCTCTCTTAGATGATGACCAATTCAGGTATGAAAAGCAAGGTACCAAATCACGCTGTAGCATGCTTCAGTGTGCCCTTCCCCTGCCAGCCTATATGAGAACATGCATCTCTTAAAACACCTTGAGCTGGCATTTTGACCGACTTGTTGTTGTAGGAAAACGGAAGAAATCGCTCGCCGCTTTGAAAGTGGAATTGGAAGAGAACTGCATAAGCAGCTAGTTGCCCAAGACAAGCAGAACAAACACACTAGTTACATCTCAGGTAGGAAGATTTGTAGTGGGATAATGTGGGGATTTGTTTTTAGCAAAGGCCTGCATGGACTGGCAGCTCATAATGCAGGGAATAAAACATGTTAAAATGTAAGCTCTCTGTTTGCACTCTGAACAGCAAACTGTGAAAACTGCCATTGACAAAGTCTGAGCTAATTGATAGAGTGGAGTGATATTGTAGCTGTTATGGTCCAGCTACAACCAAACCAAAAAACCCTTGCTGCTTGCATATATTTTTATTGGACCAACTGTATATTTGGAAGAGATGTTAGACCTTTTTGCTGGTTAGGACAATGTCTGTAATGGACACAAAAGAACATTTCCCACAAACACGGTTCAACATACCAAATAATGGAAATAAAGTAATTTAAACCTCTGACTAGGAGAACATAATGGGGAGGGGAAAAGTCTGGAAGAGAGGGAGAGTGGTGGTGCTATCAGAATAAAAATGAGGATAGATGGCATGGTCAGCCACAACACTGACGCTCTCCACGTGCAGATCACATTTAAGGCAAGCAAAAGATTTGTCTGTCCATGTACAGAACTCCGGGGAAAAGAACAGTTTGTTTGGGGCACGGTGTCATTCAAGTGTGTAGATAAAAGCTATGTACTTGTCCAAATAAAATGCAAGCAGCACTGAGTAAGTATACGGTGCTCGAAGTGTTGTAGTATCAGCAGCCTCAAAACTGACTTAGAAGCCCTGAAAATGAGGGAGGCTGTTCAGTGTCAGGGTTGCTCGTGTCACAGGACTAGCAATGCTGCCTACATAACAAGCTTTGTTCACAGTGTTGTCAGTGAGCAGCTCGCCTCATTTTCAGGGTTTCTAACAGAGCCCTTTGAAAGCTGTTTCCCATTTACTGTTTCTGTGCAGTGAACTGGAGTTAATTTATGTTACAAAGTGGGGCTGAAAGGTGCTATTCACTTAAGTGGCTTATGCCCTTAACCAGCATACAGATAACAAGTGTCTGTTAGTGGATGCAGCATACGACATATTGGGATGGGCTTTGTATTATACAGTTAGGTGAATTATAAACTT